GAATAGATTTCTATTCCAGGAAAGACCCGTCAACGGAGAATTTTTGAATCGGTCGCTGTTCTGAACGGTTCTCAAGGCATAACACGCAATCAAATCGTGGAGTTTTATGGAACGGGGAAATGAAACTACTCTGGTTGACCCTGGTGGTTTTGTTAGTATGGTGGAGCTCTGCAGGGATCCGAATCCTTTCAATTCTGCCGTTTATTATATGATTATTAATACTTTGTATGGCCAGCTTCCGCGCTGATCACTGCCTGGCACCTTGCAGGCATGCTATCAATTAATTTCTCTAAGAATGCCTCTGGTAAAGCATCCCATGCAGCTCGTATAACCTCACGTAAACGATCATATGATAACTGTTCATACTGGAGGAAGTATTGATCGATCCAGTCTTTCAATCAATTCCAAACAGCTTCGATTGGATTGAGATCTGGTGAGAACGCTGGCCAAGTAATTGGAAAGATTCCACGCTCATTAAACTCTCGAAGAGTAGTCTTACTTGCATGACCAGGAGCATTATCTTGCATTAATTGAAGTCGTTGTCCGTTGCGTTCAACCAAGCGTATATAACCATCAATAATAGGAACAATCCGTTCAGTATAGCTTTCAGTGTTGATACTCCTCCATTCTTTCTTCCAAAAGAGACATGGTCCTTTGAAATTGCTGTGAAAAGAGGCCCAAAACATCCAACCACGCTTACGTGGAGGATTTGTACGGAGACAGGTTTCATCAAGCTCTTCACCAGGCTTGCGAGTCACGTATATTTGTTTATGAAAGCCTGAAGTTACCCAGGTTTCATCAGTCCAGAGTATTCAATTCAATTGATCCCGTGTCCAGTATAGGTGTTCAAAAGCCCAGGCTAACCTTGCTTGTTTATTAGCTGACGAAAGAGGTGGTTTTCGAAGTGCTTTATAATATATATAGCCTCTTTTTTTCAAGGAACGCGTCAAAGCTGTTACTCTAACAGGGAGCTCAAGCTCTTTAATAACACGATAAAATGGCAGCCGATGTGTACGTTTTGAACTTGATATCCATTGTATAATCTGATCAACTTCTTCATCAGATAGCTTAGATGCACTGCCTTTTGCTTTTCGGGGTGTAGCTTGCTGGGTTTGACATGTATATTGAACTTGGCGATAGCTAATCTGTAGCTGATTAACTATTTGTTGATAGATTAAACCAGCATCACGAAGAGTAAGAATACGGATTCGATCATCACAGTCAAGGCGTTTTGAATTCGTTTTAGGGGAGGTAGGCTCAGGAGTGGAAGGCATCTTTACTAAACACCAAGAATCAGTGAAAATCATCAATTATTACGCGTTTGGAAGTCAACGCGTGGCTATATTAAGCAGGCGGTGTCGCTTAGGAGACTCACTGCTTGAAGGATTCGGATCCCTGCAGAGCTCCACCATACTAACAAAACCACCAGGGTCAACCAGAGTAGACCCAGTTAATGTGGAGTGGATGCGATTCAGCGAAAACACGGCAGGAAGTCGTCAGCCCGGGAAAACGACCCCTTTCAATGGAGTGAGGCATGTAGAGTCTCTGAACCTCGGTTGTTTTTCACTCGATTAATGACGAGGAACGCAATCTACTGTAGGGAGGGCGTCTCTACTACAATTGATCAAGTTTTCTGCTGGGAACATTCAGCCATTTGGAATGCCCCTACCCTACCAAAATGCTGGTCTGCGGTCGAATATATCGAGAGAGTGTATACCAATCTGTTATGGATGAATGCCAATATAAAGCGCTACATCCTAGTCTCTCTGCATGGTGTGTTATTACGAGTGGCATTGATCACAGCCTTGAGGTACATAATATCCAACCCCAGACTGAAACAGAAGCTATACGTATGAGGACTTGATGGTAGGTCGTTCTCAGTGGGCAAGTAATGTCAGTCACAGTCAACGATTGTCCGTGAGCGACAAGACAAGGCGGCCTCGATCGGGCTGGTCGGGGTCGCATAAGCTTATGCGGCTTGGCGACGCCCCACGTGTAGTAGTTCGAACATGGCGATGCCACTTCACTTCAGCCAGAACGTTGAACTGCAGCACCCATTTGTCCAATTTCTTCCTACCATTGAGACGTGCGAATAAGGATCAGATAGTCTGGAGCAGGGCGTACAGTTGCTCCTCTCTCCCTTTTATACGACATCTCTAGCGCTGCTTTACAGAAATCCTACGATGAGCACCATATCGTCAATGCCACATAGTCCGACTGATGCTTCCTCTCCACTTCAGTCTTACGCCCGCACTTGCTCTTCTTGTCGACAGCGAAAGGTAAAATGTGACCGCCAACGGCCTTGTATCAACTGCAGCCGCTCGGGCGTGGAATGTATATATCCCCCCGGACGCGGCAGGGCTCCTAAGCGGCCCCGCAATGCCGTGAACGCGCAGTTGTCGCACCGATTAACCAGGCTCGAGTCTATCATAAGGAGCTTCGAGTATCATCAGAACCAGGGAAGCTCAACCCATTCACCTGCAGCGCCAGTCGCCCTATCGTCCCGAGCAGGCAGCCGTGCGTCAGAGACTTCCCGTATCCAATCTGTCCCCCGCACGAGCAATTCAGACTCAGAAAATTCCATTGAGCAGCATCTAGGCCGCTTGCTGATAGATGATACACGGAGCTACTATGTCAGTAACGTCCTCTGGGCGAATCTGGGTGATGAGGTATGTCTGGGTCCCGACCGAGACTCTCACTGCATTCATTCGCTTTCATGCTGACGAGTAACGATGTAGATTGCAGAGCTGCGGGATCTACTACATGAGCCCTTGGTTGAAGAGGATTCTGCCTTTTTGGAGGAGCCCGTTCCGGAGCGACCTTTGCCTACGGGCTCAAATGCTGCAATATTAGGTTTTCGGGCTCTTGCTCATTCACTTCATCCCTACCATCCACCCTTGACTGAGTCGGTGACCCTCTTCGGGGTATTCCAAGAGAACGTCTCTCCGATGGTGCGTATCTTCCATATGCCCACGTTAGCTCGTAATTATTGGGATGCGGTTGCGTCTCTCGAATCGCTTGATAAGGATACCGAAGCCCTCTTATTCGCCATATATTACTCTGCAGTAATAAGCATGGAGCCCGAGCAATGCTTAAGAACTATTGGCGTCTCCAAGGCACATGCTTCAGAAACCTATCTTTTCGCCGTGGAACAGGCCTTGGCTCGTGCTGACCTGCTGAATACGCAAAGCGTCACGCTATTGCAAGCCGCCGTGCTTTTCCTTTTCGCGCTACGCAACGAAGATGACTCCCGGACCGTCTGGTCTCTCACAGCACTCATCTTTCACATCGCACAAGCCATGGGTCTCCACCGTGATGGCGTCGTGTTTGGGCTTAAGCCTATGGAGACAGAGCTACGCCGGCGGTTGTGGTGGCACATTTGTCTCCTAGATGCTCGCTCATCAGAGTACCACGGCTGCGAGCCGATTGTGCGGGACTCAGCCTTTGACACGAAGCTACCACTCAATGTTGAAGATGCTGACCTGACTGCCGACATGAGCGAGCTACCAACTGAGCGGACCGGTGTAACCGGCATGTATTTCTGTCTTATTAGGTGTGAGGTCATGCGGACCATGTGGAAGCTTAGCTGTGTGGCTCCCGGCTTGGGAAGTTCGAGACTTGGGACTGGCAGACCATCTCTGAAAGAACGTGAAGCTTTAGTGCAGAATCTGCACGATCGCCTTGAAGAGCGATATTTGCAGCACTGTGATATCTCGCAGCCTTTTGGCTTGGCTTCAACATTCGTAGCCCGTCTAATGGTTGCACGCGCGTGGCTCGTTGCACGATATCTTTTAGATGAGAAAGAACATGGTGACAATTTATCGGGCCCTGTGCGCGATCAACTCTTCATGTCATCTATTGAGGTTCTGGAGTTATCCAGCTTAGTCCTCACTAACAAGGCCATTGCTCACTGGAGTTGGCACTCAAAGACACACATCCAATGGCATGCAGTTGCCTTTGTGCTCTCTGAGATCTGCACCCGACCCCCTTCGGCAGACTGTGACCGCGCATGGCAGTACGTCAATACCGTTTACAACAATTGGAAGATGAAGGAAAGCGGGAGAAAGGGTACGCTATGGCGGCCTATTAGACGACTGATGGCCAAGGCACAGTACATACGAGAGATGCAGGAGCTAGACCCTGCCGGTAGAGGGAGACAGAGAGCGCCGCCAAATCGAGATAGTATGCAAGGGGTTCTAGGCCCCGAGATGTGCTGGGGTACGAACGCGGCATATGTGTCTACACCTGTCGACACAGCCTGTAATGTGGTAGGAGATCTGCCCAGCGGAATCTTGGCGGGGACTTTGGATCCCTTCGAAGAGCTTTTCCCCGGTGCTCCGCACGTTGAGAGCTCCGCACATGAACCGTGCGACAATATAGGGCCAATGCTCCCTCTTTATGATGACTCCCATATTCCTGAGTGGCTGGTTCCGGAGTGGATCAGGAATCCACCGGGCAATCGGGAATGAGGTGAAGCAGGGGACATGAGTTCCCTTTCTTCGGCATACTGCAGGTCTCACATCATAAGACCATCACGTACACGACTCCTAGAGGCCATCCCAGCGGAAATTGTACCACTATTTAGTCTTGATGATCAATTGCCATATTCGTAGGTACGAGCGTGCGAAAGGTTTGGCGGGCAGAAGTAAGGATAAAAGCGATTCGATGTTATTCTGGATGAGGGTGCACAAGGCAGGCTTCTTCATTATGGTCGCCATGAGTGCGACCGACCGGAGAAGCTCAGTTGGCCCTGGGGTCTAAGCTCGATGTCATTGGGATCACACGGACTATGACAGGGGTCAGCGGGGGTTCGGATAAGCCTATGCGGCCCCGAACAAAACTGCATGAGCCTTCCGTCTCGGCCATCGGTGCGCATAAGACCAATCTGTTCGAGTACCCCATCTGTGTGGACGCTTGATAAATGGACGGATTCCCCAAGTGAGACGTGGCAGTGCTGCTTTGCTTGCTATCGTTTTATAGACCGGGTGCTAACATCAATCATGTCTCTCGACCACCAAGAGCGTACCAAAAGCGAAGCTGTTTTGGCTCATCCCCTACTCTACGAGGCAACAACCCCTGATGTTCTGGTTGACTTCAATGGCCCAGATGATCCATACCGTTCTATCAACTGGCCTTTTCGGAAGAAGGCCATCACGACGATCCTATACGGAATGACTACCTGCTGGATCACCTTTGCGTCGGCAATCTATTCCGCGGGAATGCAGCCGATCGCGCATGAGTTCGGCGTCTCGAAGGAAGTATCCATATTGGGAATCAGCTTGCTGGTCTTTGGTCTTGGGCTGGGACCGTTGCTGTGGGCACCTTTGAGCGAGGTTTATGGCCGTAAAATGGTCACCATCTTAGTACGTTCCCTGTCATGCGACCGTTAGTTCAGACTCGTTAAATCACCATTTCAATCGAGCTGACTTGTGATGCAGCCGTATTTCATCGCCGGGATTTTCTCTTTCGGAACGGCAACGGCAAAGGATATCCAGACATTAATGATCACCCGATTCTTCTCTGGATTCTTCGGCAGCTCTAGCGTGGCAATAACTGGCGGTGCTATGGCGGATATCTGGAAGCCAGAACATCGCGGTGTGGCCATCGTCGTCTATTCGGTCACTCTCGTTGGTGGTCCTTGTCTTGGTCCCATCATTGGCGGGGCCTTTGTGTCTAATAGTAGTCTGGGTTGGCGCTGGACGGAATACCTGACGGGGATCTTGATGGTAGTGCAATCCGTGTTGGACTTCTTGGTTCTAGATGAGAGCTATGCGCCCGCACTGTTGGTCCAAAAAGCACACCGACTGCGGCTGGAAGGCAAGAATTGGGCCCTGCACGCGAAGGTGAGCAAGCGCGGATGCTCAGAGACCTGCGGCTTCTTCCGAGTTTGTTTCATGCTAACTAAACAATAGCACGAAGAATGGGACGTGTCTATCTCCGAGATGTCGCAGAAATATCTAATTCGCCCTTTCCAGATATTGAACACCCCAATCGGGCTGTTCATGTCGATCTATGGGTCTTTCGTTTACGGTCGGTAGTCAATTTGGCAGGGGTTCTGAATGCGGTTACTCACTATTTCAATAGCCATCCTATATGTAAACCTCGAAAGCTTTCCGATTGAATTCCAGGAGAAGCGTGGCTGGGGGCATGTCACAGGAGGCCTTCCCTTCGTCGCCCTCCTCGTCGGAATTTTTGTCGCGGCTCTGGCCAACGTCTATAACAACCGATATTACTTTCGGAAGCTTCGCGAGAATAACGGCAAACCCGTCCCCGAAGCACGACTGCCTCCGATGATGGTTGGAGGGGTTGCTTTCACTGGGGGCTTATTCCTTTTTGCTTGTCAGTCCATAACTCCCCAACAACATCTCCTGAACCCCCACTGACTAGAAGCAGGGACCTCATCGCCTCACATCAACTACTGGCCATCTCTCGTTGGCATCGCTTTCACGGGTTTTGGGTTTACTACTATCTTTCAAAGTTCAATCAATTATTTGGTCGACACGTTTTTGCGCTTCAGCGCAAGTGCTGTTGCTGCCACCACTCTTCTACGATCCATCCTGGCGGGTGCATTCCCTCTCTTTGTGCAGCCGATGTTCCAGGGCATCGGAGTGAACTGGGGCATCACGGTATTCGGGTGCGTTGCGGCGGTCTTGATCCCCGTTCCGTTTCTCTTCTTTGCGTTCGGCAAGAGAATTCGCGCGAAAAGTCAATGGAGTACTAGCAATTCCGCATGATGTTGTGTCAGGACGCAGGGAGGAATGTATGTATTTGATATATCTAGATCTCAAAATCATGGCTGGTTGGCTGGTTAGTGTCAGAGATGGTGGTCTCCGACCACGTCGAGGTGGCAGAGGATCAGGTGATGCCTGGCTACAGTGAATGTCTCGATATGAGATGTTGTTAATAGTCATTAGGATAATATATAGAATGCGATGATGGCCGTCTCATATCCTAAAAGGGGAACGGGAACAACCTTCACTAAATGCATGCATATATGATGAGATAGTCAAACTACAGATACCCTATTCAGACCTTTCTTGATTATATGTCCAGATCGTGGAGAGTAGTGTGCATGCACTGATGAATATCTAGAGGATGGCATGGCCTCTGGTTGGACATGAAAAGACCTGGGTGGAGAAGGAATGTTGTCATAACCCATCGCTAACCGAGCGGCTTCATCCGGATTTGCGGAACCGCTCCTCGGCAAGAGAGTGTGGCGGGTGGCTCTTGGGAACCGGGCGTACCATGTGTACGCGGGAGTATCTTCGAAAACTGAATGCATACTTAATACGAAGATATAAATAGTCAAGGCGACTTATAAAGTATATCCCAATTCAACAATCGAGTGTCGTTTCAATGCTCTGTCAGTCCAGTATGTATGTGGGTGGTTGATGTCGGAGCAAGTTGACTCGCGATACCTTCCGTAACCGGATAAAGGGTAGGAGATCAGAACAGTTCGTTATGTCACCGAAGAGGCGATGACGTTCAGGAAAGAAACAGAGCGAAACCCCAGAGCCAATCCAGTCCCTAACTTGACTTACTTCGTTTAGTGTCCCTCGGCTTGCCGATCGGATCCAACCTTAGCCACAACTCCTCTCTCTCTCTCTTTCTCTCAATCAATCACCGTCCATGAAACCCCCTTCCTTCATGCCGCACCATTATTCGGTCCCCTGTTGGTCCCACCGGATGGAACAACAACAACTTACCCCCCGGGGAATTTTGGATCCACTGGGGCTAGACTACTGTTAGTCAGTCAGTCAGTCGGCAGTGGTCGCATCATTGCCGGTTCTTCTGAGCCCAGGTACGTCATTGGGAAAGGTCCGGTTTCTCGTCGCCACAAGTTCTGCTCTTTTCTTTTTCCTTTTTACTTTTCATAGTCTTCCCCGAAGCTATTTCACCAGGGGCATATCCTCCTATTCTTAGTCTGGGCTTTCGCCATCTGTACATCATCATTATTATCGTTATTATTATTATCCTCACTTATAGTTTTATCGGTCTTTCAATCCGTCCAGTCAAAAACACGTACCTGCTTAAAAATGTCATCTAACGGTAACACAACGAGAAAGATTGTCTGCTTCTCAGGTATGTAAGAGAAATGATTCTGCGTCTTGCTTGTTCGCTTGCTCTTCTTGTGCCGTGGATCAGTATCTCCACTTGGACCATGCCGCTAATCAGCGACCTATCGGACAGACTTCGATGGAACGATATTCATGCAAGATACGGGCCATGTCCTTTTTGATAACCTGGGGTGTGGTGCCAAGCGCCGCCAAATGCTCGACGAGCAGATCAAGTCCGGCGAGCGCTCATTCCGTGAAGTCTCCGAAGAAATGTGGGGATCGCTACGGATCCCCTTCGAGGACGGCTTCGATGTGATGCAGGAGGAATTGGATATTGATCCTGGGTTTCAGGAATTCCACAAGTTTTGTATCGAGAAGGGAATCGATTTCAATGTTATCAGTGCTGGTTTGAAGCCGGTCTTGCAGAAAGTGCTGGACACTTTCCTAGGAGAGCAAGAGGTATGTTGATTTTCTTCTTGTACAGGAGTTGAGGGTCTGGAGGGTCTGGTTGGTCAGTTGCTGATTGTTTGCCACAGGCATCGCGCATTCAGATTGTCGCCAATGATGCAGATATCAAGTCCGACGGCTCGGAGTGGAAGCCGATCTGGAGGCATGAAACAGAGCTTGGCCACGACAAGGCCCTGTCTATCAAAGAGGGTCGTGCGCAAGCAGCAGAAGATGCCTTGGAAGGAGAGATCCCTCTTATCATCTTCATTGGTGACGGAGTGTCCGACCTCCCGGCTGCTCGTGAAGCGGATGTCCTCTTCGCGCGCAAGGGACTGAGGCTGGAGGAATATTGCATTGAGAATAAGATCCCCTACATTGGCTTCGACTCCTTTTCCGATGTCAAGCGGGAAGTAGAAGCAATCATGAAGGAGGACCAGGAGAAGACCAAGGGCGTGGGCAAGCCTGCCCGGTTTAACCCCCGGGCCAATATGTGGCGGCGGATTTCCAGCAAGCAGGCTGTAAGTTCACGGTTAATTGTTGCAGATGCATGACCCATGGAAGCTGACAGTATGACGATAGGTTCCGAAATTTGTCGCTGCCACACCATCCAGGGAAGAGAAGATGTTCCTCTGGCCAGAGAGTTTCTCCGAATACCGACCCAAGAATGCGGATGATATCCGAGTTTGAGAGCCGATTTCAGTTAATGTGTGGATGACTCATTTTCAGGCGTTTGGTGGAGTGAGCTGGGTTCATAGATCCTAGATGTGTTCAAATGAATGTTAATTTCAAACCTATTCTGTTGGGGTTTTGTTGTATATCGGATGTGGCTGAAAATTGGAATGGCGTTAGGCTGGCTATATACTACGAAAGCTTGCATTTGGGTGATTGGTGTTATCCAGTGGAATAGGACAAAGACCGTAACTTGTCAAACAAGAGAATGACTATTGAGATCCCGAAAAGGAAATCGATTCGAGATTCACATGTTTCATCCAACCGTAGTCCCATCGGCAAGCCATGTGGCAACCCAGGGCTAAGCAACTGCCAAGAGCCAACAAGCTCCGGAGTATACCCCTGGCACTAAGCATTGCTGCCATAAGTGACAGGGTTGATATGGGGCTGGTTACCGATACGAACTGTCCTTGTGCACAGCCCTCACACGTAGATAATTGTCAGCGCCAATAGTCAGATTTATGTTCACCTAGCACAGTCAGGCGTCCTGAAATGTATTATCTTACCCATATGATTTCTTCAACGTGAAGGCCTGACCCCGCAACAAATGTAATGGCTGATGCCTGGTGTGGCTGCAGCACAGCCTCGTAATCTGACACTTCCGTCGCGCTGGATGCCTAATCGGGGCAAGCGTTGCGGGATCTGGCCAAAGCATCCAGCCTAAGGGTGAGGTAGAGAATACTATAAGACTTCTTTGTCTTGATGGGCGTCATCTCACCTCTTCTTCACTTATCCATCACTTCTCACACCTCCACAGCCTCGGCCTCGGGACATTGTTCCTCGACACCATCAGCAATAACGCTTCGCCAGAAGTCATGGATCTCAGAGTCACCCTCGTCAAGGGCATCGCATCCGGCATCGGTCTAGCTTCGGAGAGCATATCAGCCTATAAAGCCAGCAGAGAAGAGAAAAAGGCGCAAGCAGCAGACTCGGACAATGCGGTCAGAGAAGCAACTACGGAGGACACCGAAGTCGAACATCTTATCAATGAACAGCACGAGGAGGAATGGGTTCTTGACGAGGCACAAGATGAACTAGCTGGGAATGAGCATCGCGCTTATTCAGAGCCTGCCAGTGGTGATATCGAGGGTTTAGCAGTTTCGTTCCTCCAAAATTATCCCGCTCCACCTCCGTATACAACACCCTCGCCGGGCTCGCCCAGACTATCTTGTCCTGTGGTGCTGCCTCAGCGACGGCCAAAGTCTCGCAAGAGAGGCTTTATTCGAGCCTATGCTCCCGTCCTGGAGGACTTTGGTATCGACAAGTCCATGTTTCTTGAGTTTTTGGAGACATCGAACCGAGCGTGTCAGGCGACTCCGTGGTTGCAGGCTATCAATCTGGCATCTATTGGGACTATGTTCATACCTGAGGCTATTTCGATAGCTGTTTCTATTCTGATACAGTTGGCGACTGATGTGGCGATGGCTGTTGATGGTAGGAGAAGGTAGGGCTTGCGTGGTATGGTGTGGTGTTGCTTGTGTGATGCTGATGCAGAGTACGCAGGACCAACAAGTTCTTTGACAAGATCAATGACGAGTTCTTCCGGCCTCGTGGTCTGTTCTGTTTGGTTATGACATGGAAGCCGGGGTCCGACTCACCTTATGCTACCTTCGATATGAACTCCACGATCTCGGCGGCCATCGAGCATGGTGGAGCAGGACTAATGAACAAGGTCCGACATAAACTCAAGTCATCGGATGCTAAGACGCACGGCACATTGCCCTTCTCGGAGTGTGCACCTCTTATATTTCCCGACCTTGACGAGCTAGCAGAACACCGGGGAGACAACCAGTCGAAACTCAAGGGTGCGAAAAGAAGAAAGGAGTTCGTCTCGGATTACTGGGACCGAAGGTCACAAGCCAAGTTCGTATGTTATCGAGACCACACTAATGGTGGAGGATTGGTACTGACCAGGATATTGTAGATGATGAAGAATCCAGATAGCGCTTTGAGCCAGGGTCACAAGCCAACATTCACCTCCCGTTATGCCGACCCTAGCCACCCTGCGAGCAGCGGCTCCTTGGTCGGTCTACTCACGGGTGGATATATGACTGGTGAGAGGTTGGTGCAACTTCGAAGCGGCATAAGTGGAACCGATGGTAGAAGAGGTCTCAGCAGGCAGTCGATTGAAACGCCACCATTGTCCCTTGGTGGACTGGCGGCTGGTATTCGTGCAGCCAGGTTTGGTCGATCGCCGGCAGAAGATCCGCAAGGGCGAAGTGTGATGCAAGGCGAAGAGGGCTATCCACAGCCAGTTACTGAAGCTTCGACTGGTGGCCAAAGCGTTCCCGGTCGTGGGCGGGGAATCAGAGACCTTCGCCAGGCAGGATCTATAGTAAGTCCCGTTGGAGGAATCAAAAAACTTCTGAAGGAGGTACGTATGAACCCTTTTCCGGCAGCTTGCAGATGCTAAGATAATAATGACAGAATATTATATATCTCATGATTGTCAATATGCCTTCGGAGGAAGATATGGAAGCAGCTCGGCGGATTCTCCAGTCATGATCACTGTTTTGAATCTATGTTGATCGGTCGCTTTATCTTTAGTGGGCCTTGTATTTTGCTTGCTTTCTTGATCTGTTCTTGTAGTTTTAGCGAGACTAAAATATTAGCAAGGGCGTGCAGGGTAAGTTAAAATGTTTATGGAACGAGTACCTGTATGGTTTCTGTTGCCAGCAGGCAGTCAAGGGATGATATTCGAATGGTTCCTGGAATGCCCGGCTTTTGGCTCATGGCACAGAATGGCGGGGTAGATCATTAGCGATTGATGAAAGCGATGGAAGTGATCGAAAACATGATAGTTGGGTGATTGGCTTCTGTGCAGCGAAGCATAGCGTCTGATACTCTGTCACCCACGCCTTCAGAATAGCCCATCCAACGGCAAAATTTACCAATGCCCATAAACTATAACGGAAGGTTATCATCCGAGTTCCCGTCTAGGCCCGCATATTTTTAAAGTTTATCTGGGTGGAATTAATAGGACATGGACCATTATGATAAAACACAGGATAAGCTGAAGAGGTGTCAAATCGCCCAGTCTCTCTAATATTGATACTACATGGGCTAGAGTGGCAAAAAAGTGAATTGGCAGGTAATTTGCCTGTGCCGTGTTTGCGGCAGATGAACAAGATGGATAGTAAAGATGCAAAAAGGAACCTCCCCGACTGGGAGTCGAACCCAGGTCTCCCGCGCTTGTTCCCGAAAGGGATTGACAAGCGGAAATCATGACCGTTAGACCATCGAGGACTTCTTATTTGTTGTTGCTTTATTTTGCTTTATGTTCTTGGCAGATATCTAAAAGACTGAATTGCCACCCCAACGAGGCAGCGTAGCACTACCTATCTATAGAGTATTTTGTCGCTTGCTAGTCCATATGCAGTGTCTATAATATCTATAGTATATTTAGATCCCGAAGACATGGTCTATTCCTCCCTTTGGTCACTGGAGGCTTTTGTTAGGAAGTAATACTAGAACCTGCTATTATGGTTGCCGGATATATATTGCCGCAACCCTAGCCGCGCAACAATAGTTGTCACAATTCAGTAAACTCAATGTACTGTTATCATTATCATACCAGAAATGCACCAGTCTACAGTATGGTATATCTGTTAATTCTGAAATGCATTGGCACAGGGAAATTGCATTGATATGCCAAGCTACCCTTGGATAAGTTGGGGCACCAAGCAAAGAAGGAACAGGGCCAATTGAAGAGACACCAAGCTTCCTTGAGAATACCTGTTGCTATCCCATACTCCGCTCTCCCGCTTGACTCTCCTAGTGAGGTAGAGGGCCAGAACAGAACATGGCACTCTCTTTGGTGGTTTGCCCGGCGCCGTGCCGGGAGGTGTGGAAGCGACAAAGAGAACTGTTCTACAATATATGATTATCGAAATAGCTCTGCTGTACCAAACGTCTAGTGGCACTAACACCACTTTCCAGCAGGATTAGTAGCGAAAAGCACTGCTGTATTCACCGATCTGGAAACAGCCGTATGCCCATAGCTATATGACCAAATTCGGGAAAGTTCGTCGGGCCGCCACGTCCATGGTTGGATTATCGAACATAAGAAATTGAAAAGCCAACATAGAGTCATTATTCACTCACATTGAGCTCAGAACTGCTAGTAACACCGGGGGTAATATTTGTCACTGAATACCCTGTCACATGATTGTGGCCTTGCTTCTGATCCTCTTTTCTTTGCCTCCCCCCACCCTCTCTTTTGCCTTCAGGTACAGTTATCCGCAACTACCAAGGTCAACTAATCGGCTATTTACTTTCCTTGACCTGGAATCAAACCTCTTTTCCAGACTATTATTTACGATGACGGAGAGTCTGGCTCGGAAGAAACTGAGGTCGCTATACCTTGGAGTGATCGGGGAAGAGCATAGTACACCCTTCGTCTCTAATTCCTCTGGCTCAGAAGGGGACGTCCTGCCGCTGTTTCTGCAAGAGCATGATATATCTATTTCTTCTTGGGAGGTTGAGTCAAGCTCTGAAGATCTGTCATCGGTACCGTTCGTCCCGCAGCCTCGGTCGTTTTTACAAGCCCACCCCACAATTTCTCGTCTTCCCTTCCCCAACTACATCCCACTGTCCGATAGAGACGAGGCTCGGGAAAATGGATGGTTGGTGACCGACGAAGAGAACTGTTCTCAAGAAGCTGCTTTCTTCTTCACCCAATGGGCTACTGCCAACCGAGTCTTCCATCGTCCGTACTCATCACTGATGGATTTCTGCGGAGTACACAAAATGACGTGAGTACCATACATTTCAATTAAAATTACTGGTTCAATCAATAAAGTATGCTGATCTTTAGGCCACCGAGTCCTTTCATGAGTTTCGCCACACAAATCGGATGGTGTCCACCTACAGGACGCTGCTGGGGCATCCGCCTTTTCCTTGAACCACAGAGTCGCAATAGTGCACCACTTCCCCATGTTGCCGCGGTGGCTTACCAGCCAATGAATGCCAGAGATGGCTCAATATTGGGTGGTGAGCTCGTTGCCATTCTTTCAATTATGCATAGCCGTGTCAAGGAGCCCAAAGTGGAGAGTGAGGAGGTGATGGAAGGTCTATCTGATATGAATGAGCAAGAGCTTGAAGATCTTTCCAAGAAAAGCCCAGCCTTCCCAGATGAACAGAAGTTTCCAGTCCTACTCGTGTCCTTTGTGGGCCCACAGCATGCACGACTACTTTGTGCCTCATTGAACACAAACCTTCTGGTCATTCATCTGTCCAAGCTTTATAGCTTCGAGAGAGAGCAGGACGCTCCACTCGATTTATTTATGTCCTGGCTGTTTGCGCGTCCTGTGGCGGGAGCCTGACCGATTTTGTTCAAAGCACTTGCCATTTGTATCTAATTACTTATTACCGAACTTGATACCCTGTGCTAGGTTGCTCTGATCATTGTGCAGTAGTAGCTGGCCATATATGATCGTGACTTTGAGGCAACATCGTCCGGCTAATATCTGAGTCAGTACTCATACAGGAATACTTGTGCGGCTTGGTGAGCATACTTCTTGCGGTAGTAAATGACTCTTCTCCCAGAATTGCATCTACTCTTATTCAGAATGGCTAGTTATCTGTGGGAGAGATAGAGAAGGAAAAACAAAAAAATAGAAAGAAAGGAAAACAAAGGAGAGAAAGATCGAGAGATTATTTGCAGTAATCTTCACTGGTGTGGTTGGACTCTCCCTTAAAATGACTATGTTACAATAGTAAAAGCGCCATAATGATCTGGGCATAGTTCCTCATGTCGGTTGGCCGACATATGTCCCAGGGGCCGAACCGGCGCATGGTCGCAAACCCAGCTCTAGAGAGACAGCCCGGGCCCCCCTCCATGTACCTCAACCATCCATCATCGTAACCAAAGACACAAATATAGAGCTCGGTACCATCTTTCGACAAAAGTACTCGTGAATCAGCAGCCCCTGCTACCGCGGGAAAATTCTTAATCCATGCGACTATCTCTGCCACTTCTTGCATGTCCACTTTCGGAGAGTGATTGTCTCTCCATGATCTTTTGCATTCGACGAGTGCCAAAATCCGACCGGTGGTGGCATCTTCCAGCTGTCCGTCTGTGTAGGCCACGAATTTTCTCTCAGGCTGCGGTGTGCCGAAGTCCGCCACGAGTTTCTTCCTCTCCGTTGTCCATAGGCGTTGAGCAGGCTGCGGACACAAGTCTGAAAGGGCGTGCAAGAACGATAAAAAGGCAGTATTGACGGTCGACTCAGTTGCGCCGCGATTGATACCGTTGATAGTCAGGTTGCGAATGACCTGCTGTTGTTGGACTGCTGGGACCCTAAAGAGGCGGTCCGTTCCACCCCAAACCCACCCCGTCGCCTGCGCCTGTCTATTGGTGAAATTCGCGATGTATTCGTTGAACGCCAAACAATTTAGCCGCTGATTGGCTGGAATCATAAGATGTGGTTTTCCAAACGTCTGGACGTTCAGCTGGTTTGGCTGTACAATGGGAGGGAGGAGGGTGCGAAACAAGAGGTATTGGCGGTGGCTGACATGCGATGCGGAATATAACTTCACGTTCATCCGTAGAGTTTGATTCTCCACCTTGTTTCTCCTTGCTTGGTCTCTCCAGCCATTCTGATCCTCTGGTAATATTATGGCAGTCATGATGACGGTATGAGGATTTATATCTAGGAATGAGTCTCAAGATAGATGGAATGTGGGATGTAGCTCTGGCGAGGCAGAGATGATTGGGGGTGCGAGGCTCAGTGAATACTCGCAATGGTACAGCCCTTCTTGTGTTGTGAGAAAGAGAAGATTCTGTCTGTTTGAATTCACTTGCTAGCTCTTCGCGCTTCTCGTGTTTCTTTTTCTTTTCTGTCTTATCTCCCTCCTTTCCTCCTCTTTCTTCCTCTCACTACAGCCTGCTTCCATCTTAAAAGGCACTGCCAACAGGATCTGTTCAGGTTTTACTTTCTTTACGTTGACAAACTCGTTTTTATAGCTCCTCTCTTCCCCCAAACGGCCTTTTCGCTATGTCTGTATACCAGAATAGCAAGCTGCCTGATAGCCTGGTCATTGCAGCAGCCGAGGTGAGAATTCCTATGGAACAGACTCTTGTTACTTGAGCGAGGCTCACTTAGAACATGGGATGATAGAATGGCTTCCTATACCGCATGTTGACTCGCCCTCCTTGAGACTGTTCGCCCCGGTAAGTCCCTGTTCCCCCTCCCCCTCCCTCTCCCTCTTCCTACTGTCAACCTCCCCAGCACTTCGGTTCCTTCGTATCGTCGGAACCGTCGTGATGGTGGTGCCCGAGTGTTGCGAATACGTCTGGTGGCTCTAGCACCCGCCCTCTGACCGTGGCCGTCGAGACGAACAATGATTCCTTGGCTGGAAACCGGAACGGGGAAGCCGAAAACCGCTAGACCACCGGTAAAGACGTGCGCGCTCTCGAGGCGCAGACCTGGCGAGCTCGCCAGGAGGAGGAACGACAGCAGCAAGCGAGAAGTCGAGAGGCTTCTCGAGGACCAGTTGCCGGCGGAAACTTGGCCTTGTCGAATCGACAAGGTTTTAGTGGATGCAGGTGCCTGGTCGATCTCGATCAGGCTCCGGCGACCAAGGTCACCTTGCTGAAATCCCTAGCAAAACCTTGGCCTGCGTCGAATCCGAACAGGTTTCAAGAGGATGTGGTACCTGGTTGATCTCGATCAGGATACCAGTGGGTGCGGGTGCCTGTGTCGATTCCGATCAGGTGTCCAGCTAGAAAATCTCCCCTGCTTAAAATCCTTAGCAGGGACTGAGGCCTGTGTCGAATCCGATCAGGCCTCAACATCCTGGCGGGCTCCTGGTCGATCCCGATCAGATGCCTTGCTAGAAAATCCCCCCTGCTTAAAAACCTTAGCAGGAACTGAGGCCTGTGTCGACTCGATCAGGTCTCAAGTGGACACCAGTGCCTGGTTGATTCCGATCAGATGCCCTGCTAGAAAGACTCCCCTGCTTAGAATCCCTAGCAGGAACTGAGGCCTGTGTCGACTCGATCAGGTCTCATGTGGATGGCGGGTGCCTGGTCGATTTCGGCCAGGCCTCCAGCGATGAGCTCGCACCTCACCGTGGTGCTGGAGTCTAGTAGCCAGGGTGTATTGCCTATGGTGAAGCTAAGACGAGCTCTTTCTCCCAATTGATCTGTCACCCTCATCATCTGTGTAAAAGGCATAATGTTGCGAAAAGAAATTAGCCAGAGGACTGAACCATGGTCTTGTATGATACTTCATATTAAGCATGTAATAGATTGCCGCATATCAAGGTGTATCTGCATATCTGTGGAATAGAACATGTAGAATCTTCCTCTCCGGACAGGTCCTCACCTAGCTATTTAATTTACCGAGATTTTCATCAGAAGCTTTTCTAAAACTGAAACGACTGAAACTGGCACACATAAAGGGAACTCAGCGCCGACCTTCGGGTGATACGGGTAAACTAAGTAAGCCTGGAAAGTGAGAAATCGGCGTGACCGTCGACTTTTTCCACTTTTGGAGTATTGTACTATTGATGGGTACGGCTATCTAGATAAGGGGACTGACTGAATCTAGTGAGATGTGCCGCGAAGTAAACTAAGCGGCTGTGCCTGCAGTGAGGCGTGATGGAACACTGCATCCGATTTTCAAGACCGATATGAACCGTAATGACAATGGTCTAAGTTTTTTAACATCTCGCATAGTACGGTAGTACGGTAGGCGACTAAGTCGAAGGATAATGGCTCGAGATCAAATTGAAAGTAATAGAGTAACAGGGGAAAACTCTAACAGTTGGCTATGACGAAGGTGGCAGCGACTTCCCGGAAAGAGATTAAGCCGGGTAGAACCAAGGGACGGCTGTGGCTGGATCAGGAACCCAAATCTATTCCAGTATCGGAGGATACTCAGGGGTCCCGCCGGGGTTTTCCCTTGATCGGAGAACATCAACCACATCAAAATGCGGAGTAACGATGAGGGGGAAGTGCACGGCCGACGTCAGAGTTTCGCTTGGGTGGATCTGCAATGTTTAGGCGGCCGACTAGACCGACAGTCCAGCACCTGCCCTGGGAGTTCAAGACAGTGGTTTGACCATCTTTTGAGAAGACTGAAATTCCCGTGAATTCCATCAAGATTATTCATGTATCACTAGCGACTCAGCACTGGGTAAGCTGCATCCACGGATTTTCTCAGCTATCTGAATGTATCAGAGACAAAGATCTTCGTGGATGGAGGCCATCAACCGAGCTTTAATGCGCCAAACCTACTGTATGACTGAATAATGGATGGATCGGCATGTCGTACGATCGGGTAAGGGTCCTAAAAATGGAGGGCCGGGGAATTCTGGGGTTAGCCGTCGGGATTATTTCGGTACGACAAACTCACTGTTCACTTTGATCTCGGCGTGGTTGCGGCTAAAAAGATGACCTTGAAGGTGGAGCGAACAACTGGAGGTGCTCGGAGGGACGCGGAGAAGAGAGGATCCAAGACATCGGGGCAGGGCAAGTCCATGCCGCGTGCAGTCACGCTTTTCCTCCCTCTGCTCTCTTCTCCTCCACATTCCACATTCCACCTCCACACTCCTCCACTCTTCCTCTGGCATCTTCCTCTTCCTCGATTTCTTGGCTTCTCGGTTGATTGTCTTCGACCTCGTTGTGATGACCCCACCTCATTTTCTGCTGCCATGGATTGTCTGGTGCCCCGGTTAATTTCACGAAAGTCCGGTCATAAAAGGCGTTCTATCCTCCCTTTGCAACAATGACACCAGGCTCAGCTTCCTCCAGACAGCCGGCAACATGGTGGCCTTTTCAGCTCTTTCGGGCGTCAGCGCCGTTTCTTTACTACTCTCCCTCGTTCAAAATGCACACGGAATCTCCTTGAAGGTCTCCACCCAGGGTGGCAACTCATCCAGCCCCATCCTATATGGCTTCATGTTTGAGGTAGGCCGCAGACTAAGCAGTAAAAGACAATTGGTTCCTCTGACGGTGATTAGGATATCAATCACTCAGGAGATGGAGGAATTTATGGGCAAATGCTGCAGAACCCTGGCCTTCAGGGAACGGCGCCTAATCTGACTGCCTGGGCGGCTGTCGGTGACGCTACCATCGCCATTGATGGCGACAGTCCATTGACCTCTGCCATCCCCAGCACCATCAAGCTTAATATTGCGGACGATGCTACCGGTGCGGTGGGTCTCACCAATGAGGGATATTGGGGCATCCCAGTCGATGGCAGCGAATTCCACAGTTCCTTCTGGATAAAGGGAGATTACTCCGGCGACATCACCGTCCGACTGGTTGGAAACTACACCGGCACGGAGTACGGCTCTACCACTATCACCCATACGTCCACAGCAGACAACTTCACCCAAGCCTCAGTCAAGTTCCCCACCACCAAGGCTCCAGATGGCAACGTTTTGTACGAGCTCACAGTTGATGGAAGCGTGGCTGCTGGCTCGTCTTTGAACTTCGGCTACTTGACGCTTTTTGGCGAAACCTATAAGTCAAGGTTTGCTTCCCTATACTCCGAAGAGTGAATTAGGGGCTAATTGTGTAGGGAAAATGGTCTGAAGCCCCAGCTTGCCAATGTGTTGGATGATATGAAAGGATCCTTCCTGAGATTTCCCGGCGGTAACAACCTGTAAGTCTCAGCTCGCCCGGTAAGTGTATAGAAGCTCATCAGAGGCAGTGAGGGAAACAGCGCAGAAAACCGCTGGAAGTGGAACGAGACAATCGGCGATCTTTGGGATCGTCCCGGACGTGAAGGTATGTCTCATTATTAGGATTGAAGCATTCATCCCTGACGGTATATAGGCACTTGGACTTACTATAACACCGACGGACTGGGTAAGTAAAGGGCTATATACAAGTATCTAGATACTGTACTAACGCGTGTAGGCCTTCACGAATACTTTTACTGGTGTGAGGATTTGGGGCTCGTACCGGTGCTCGGTGTCTGGGATGGGTTCGCTCTGGAGTCGGGTGGCAACACCCCCCTCACGGGCGACGCACTGACCCCTTATATCGACGATGTCTTGAACGAGCTCGAGGTATGTTGAGCGGCATATCAAATTGATAGCTGAAGCTAACCCAATGGCAGTACATTTTGGGTGATACGAGCACGACCTATGGAGCGTGGCGCGCGGCAAACGGACAGGAGGAGCCGTGGAACCTTACCATGGTCGAGATTGGCAATGAGGACATGCTGGGAGGCGGATGCGAGTCCTACGCGGAACGTTTCACTGCCTTCTATGATGCGATTCATGCTGCTTATCCGGACCTTATCCTGATTGCCAGCACCAGCGAGGCGGATTGCTTGCCCGAGTCAATGCCCGAGGGTAGCTGGGTCGACTACCATGACTACAGCACGCCTGATGGACTGGTGGGCCAGTTCAACTACTTCGACAATTTAAACCGCTCGGTACCATACTTCATCGGCGAGTACTCGCGCTGGGAGATTGACTGGCCTAACATGAAGGGATCGGTCGCCGAAGCCGTCTTCATGATCGGGTTCGAGAGGAACAGCGACGTGGTGAAGATGGCGGCGTATGCGCCTTTGCTCCAGCTAGTGAACTCGACTCAGTGGACGGTAAGTCACGACTGAGCAACGGGATTTCAGGTCTGAATGAGCTAACGAGTGGTAGCCCGACCTGATCGGATACACGCAGTCACCCGGTGACATTTTCCTGTCGACCAGCTACTACGTGCAGGAGATGTTCTCGCGCAACCGCGGTGATACAATTAAGGAGGTGACGTCGGACAGCGACTTCGGACCGTTGTACTGGGTTGCGTCGAGCGCCGGGGACTCGTACTACGTGAAGCTGGCCAACTATGGCTCCGAGACGCAAGACCTCACGGTGAGCATCCCAGGAACGAGCACAGGCAAGTTGACGGTGCTGGCGGACAGTGATCCGGATGCGTATAACTCGGACACCCAGACGCTGGTCACGCCGAGTGAATCGACGGTGCAGGCGAGCAATGGCACTTTTACCTTTAGTTTGCCGGCATGGGCGGTGGCTGTCCTGGCGGCGAACTAGCGTTGATTGGTGCGAATTCGTATGGGCGGCAAGTCGAATATTATCTGCAGGTGTGGTGTCATGTATTGCAGTATTTCTGATTCACGATAGAGAGATAGATCCATGCTATATACCTGCTTGTATATACAAGGCATTATCCAATGATAGGCAACGCCACCACACGTGGCTATGCACATACTAGCCAGGAGGAAGTAGAGTGACTGACTGCTATGTAGCGGTCGGTCGGGGATAGCAGTTGAATGACCCCAATCAACAGAACCGCCTGACTCTCCAACGTGTACCTCTGGGTTATTTTATATTTCCTGTTAAAGCCCCCAGAAACACAACCGAAGAATCAATGGATGCGATGAAAACAAGGCACAGGTAAGCGAAGGAGGGAAAAACAAGCGGATTGGTTGGTTGTGGCCCGATGCAAACGGGCGGCCTCTCCACTCGAACTGGAAAGAAGCGAAGGCCGTGCGCCGAGACGGGTTCGGGCGCCTTCCGTCTGCAGCTCCCCTCACTGTTCTTTTCTACCGCAGCTGATCCCCTTCAGTTCTCATTCTGCAATTATTATCGAAACGATGGGCTTCTGACAAGTACTGACTACCACCATCTCATGCAGAGACATTTGTCCTCATTGCATGATGGTTCTGATGGTGTCAGAATGGAGAGACACTACTGCATTCTACTTACACTATAGAAATACCCCCACCCGGCCTGCCATTCGCTGCGGCGGCCCACTCCGCGCGATAAGGAAATCTGAAGTTTTTTTGCTTTAGTTGCTTTTTAGTGTCGCCCTCGCGGTCTGGCCTCGTCGGCCTGCTTTAAATCTCCTCTCGTCCCTGCGACCTGTTTCTGCTTTCTTTTCCCTTTTTCTTCTTTGCGCCCTTCGGTCCTGGCAGTGAACGACTTCGGAGCTTTGCGTTCACATTTGCTGGCGAAAAGCTCCATTTGATACCCTTCATCGCATTTCCGTTTCTGTTTCTGTTTCCAGTTCCCGTGCGCTCGTCGCATTCTGCGGCTTCCCCGCCATGTCTGCCGATAATGAAAAGTCCGCGGCCGTTGCCGACGTGCAGCCCCAACCCGAGTATTCCACGGAAAAGACAGAGCAGGTGCATACTGTGACCGAAACGTCGGAGCAGACCAGTCAACCGCATGATCAGGAGGCCCAGCAGGAGCAGCAGCCGACCCAGGGTCGCGCGGCCAGGCTATTTGCCTACATGAAGACCCGCGATTTCTGGTTGGTCTTGATTCTAGGGTGAGTACATCTCCTTCCTCTTCTTCCTACGGAGAAAATTACTGTCAGATACTAATCTAAAATAGTCAAATCATCGCGCTGGCCGACATCAGCTCCTCCACCTTCTCGACCCTCCTCTCCAACGCGGGCAACAGTATCCCCGCCTTCCAGACCCTTTGGATCTACATCCTGCTCAATCTTGTCTACACCAGCATTACCCTCTACAAGTACGGCTTCAAGAAATGGTTTCAAATGCTTTACCGTGACTGCTGGCGGTACTTCATTCTTGCCTTCCTGGACGTCGAAGGCAACTACTTCATGGTGCTCGCCTACCGCTATACCTCGCTGCTCAGCGCTGAGCTTTTCAGCTTCTGGACCATCATCTGTGTCGCCATCATCTCCTTCATCTTCCTGCGCGTCCGCTACCACATCACCCAGTACCTTGGCATCTTCCTCGCCTGCGGTGGCCTGGGCATGCTCATTGCCTCCGACTACCTGCGCGGTGCCAACTACCCCGCCGAAGATCAAGTGAAGGGTGACCTGTTTGCCCTCCTAGCCTGCACCATCTACGCCTTCAGCAACCTATTTGAAGAGTTCATGGTTTCCAAGCGGCCCATGTATGAGGTCGTCGGCCAGATGGGTTTCTGGGGTATGTTCATCAATGGCGTGCAGTGCGCCATCTTCGACCGAAGCTCCTTCCACGGCGCCACCTGGGACAAGAAAGTCGGCGGGTACATTGCGGGCTACACCATAGTGCTGTTTATCTTCTACACGTTGGCGCCCATCATGCTGCGGGTGTCATCGGCCATGTTTTTCAACATCTCCTTGCTGACGATGAACTTCTGGGGCTTGATCATCGGTATCCAGGTGTTCCATTACTCCGTGCAATTCCTGTATCCCATTGCCTTCGTGCTGATCGTCATTGGCCTGTTTGTGTACTTCATCATGGAGGGCGAGATGGGTGAGGCGAAGAAGCCGTGGCTAGGAAAGGATCAGGAGCGCGGAGTGGATGGTGTGGGAACGGGTCGTCGCGCGCAGCAAACGGGACATGCAATTGTCTAGATGTGGGTGTATGAGATTAATGTGCACGGGAACAAAAGTTTATCTGGTTTTTAATCTACTTCAACTTAATATATAGTACTAGTGCTAGAGTCTGCTGTGCAGGACGGAATGTAATGGAACGAATATGAGTGATGTTGTTTATTGATGTTTTTTATTGATGTTTCTCCCAACTTTTTCCGATCAAACAACTATTGCTATACGGTAATTTCACTGGAGTTGACCACTTGATATGACTGTATTTGGATGTTATTTTCCGTGGGTACATTGAATAATTGTAACCCAACGATACCCACCCGTAGCGCAACGACCATCACCCACCCGAACTGGAATATCCTTGAACGTAGATGAAGGCTCTCAGCTCCCTTAATATTTCCTAAGATCCACTCATCTTTCATCAAATGGGGCTGTGGTTTAGTGGTATAATATTCCCTTAGCATGGGAGAGGTCCGGGGTTCGATTCCCCGCAGCTCCATTTTTTGGTTTTTTTTTGCCTTCTTCCTAGTCGTTTATCAACCCGAGATCAACTATCTACCGTAGTCTGTATCCTTGTTGATTTCACAAATCACTGTAAGTCGGGATCCGTACGTACTCATTGGCGACATACCTCCGAATAGATCTTCACTCTTACTTACTCTTTCACCACATGGCCTATTCACCTCCCTGACCTCTGATGTAGCAATCACCGGATACAGTAGATGCTAGTTAATCAAGATGAGAAGAGTGACTTGGATAGTCGCTTGAATCAAATCCTCGTTGGGAACATTGAGGATTCAAATAAATAGGCTGCTTCAACTTTCTCTCTATTGGCCTCGTCTATATAAGGCCGCTTCTTTCTCTTTTTCCTTCTCTTCCTTTTACTTCCTCCCTTAAATAAATCCTTCTCGTATATATAGTAGAGAGAGTGGAAACGGCTACTACAGTTCCCAAATATATATATCTTCAAACATAAAATATTTATCCACTCTTATGCTCACGGAAAATCCATTATAATATTACTCCCCGAAATATCTTATATCTATCCACACAAGGCTAAATGGCATGAAAGCCTCTATAATAAACCAAGGCCACCTCAGCCCTACTCGCGACCCAATCTGAAGCCTTCTTCTAACGCAGGCTCGGTCTTCCTTCTATCCACGCAGCCAGCCAACCAACCATCCCAAACAGCGCTTCGACTACGTCGCTTCATCAACGACATTGTAGTCCCCCCCCTCGCGATGGCAAAGCAGGTATGGCGCTAGAAAAAACCCGCACCTGAAGGTTCGAACCTTCATCCTCTGCACGTGGCCGCCGAGAGCAAGAATACCATACATACCTCAGCAGGCAGCCGGGACGAGAATGGGAAGGCTAGGGAATAGCTCAGCTATCGGAAGATGCAGTCATTGCTTCAGAGAAGAAAGGATCAAATGCAAACTACTGCTTTGAATGAAGATTCGATAGTTCGGTTTATCTTCCTGCTGCCGGAGCCAATGGCACAGCGGTTTAGTTATGTCGCGTCATTAGCGACGCCGCATGGTGGTTGTGCCAGGTATGGTGCTAATACGCCCGTACTTGGAGGCTCGAACCTTCGTTCTGTGCACGTGGTTGCTGGAAGGTATATCATTATCTCGGTAGGAAATGGAGTGGGGATATTAGGGGATAGCTCATCCAGCGGAAGATACGTTCGATGCTTCAGCTGAAGATGGTCAGATCGATGCCGAGATGGACACGGTTGAGCCATCTGGCGAGAGTCGACCTGAGAAAAGTTCAAGCGTTGGAGATGAATATCGAACCTTCGTCCGCTCCAACACTAATGCAGATGTTACCATGAGTACCGCCCGGCTGAACGAGGTGGTGGAAGCTGCGCCTGGTACTGATGATGAAAAGCTTCTCTTCCGTCGCCAATTTCTTCGCAAGCATATTTTCACTAAGGAGTGTGATACCAATATGATCTCATACCCTATGCACGTGGCCGCTGAAAGCAACATTATCTCAGTAAGCAACCGGACTGAGGATGCTGAGGGGCAGTTCAACCACCGCAAGAGGCGCACGATGCTTCGGTTGAAGATGACCATCTCGATATCGAGATGGCTACGGTTGAGCCATCCGGCGAGAATTAACAGGAGGACGCCGGTCCTGAGAATGATGCGTAAGTCTTCATACACATTATCATATTCTTCTTAGTTTGAAAGGCTTCGCTAACTGTCATTCGCAGGCTGGATGACATGGGACTTGTCGAGGTAGACGCCATCGCGCACTCCCGCTCCCTCTATCTTCTTGAACATCCGCAAAGTCTATTTTGTCTGGTGGTCAGACACCCAGGAACACCGTTGCTTTCACCGATCTGCAGCAAGTCCCATCACCTGCCACCCCACTTGAGGGCAATGATGCAACGAGCGACATCTGGGCGGTGGTGCCCGAAGCACACCAGTGCAGCGTCAGAATCACCGGATGATGATGATGTTGATGTCACCTAGTAAAAGGAGATGTTGATGAAATTAGGATACCATGTGGGTCCGTTGAAGACTGGCGAAACCCTGCAGAATGTTTCCGCTTCTGAAACCGGTATGTTTTGCTCATAGTATGTATGACAAACTACCACTCTTCGCAGGTTGGATGATGAGTTGCATTTTTGCAAGATCGGAGGTAAGTCTTCTCGACAACCTGACTGACTGACATTAGCTAATGCCTAAGACTCCATAGCAAAAGGGACACTCACATCTGCCTCATCTCTCTAAAAATCCCAGCAGAAGAAACTTGAGCCTATGTTGCATAGGCTTCAAGTGGATGCGGGTACCTGTGTCGCATTCAACAGATTGACAGGTCCCCAGCGATAAAGCTCACACCTCATCGCGGTGCTGGAATCTAGTAGCCCTGTGGCGAAGCTAATATTAGCTTTTTGTGTCTTTTCTTCTGTGGATGTGGAGGATGCCAGTAGACTGTGAGTTTGAACTGGTGGAGAGGTTCTGAGGAGATTAGTACTATATGCAGTTAGTATCATGCTTTGACGCATTTATTATAACATAGTACAACAGTACGTTTGCACTTTAGCGTATTGAATTTTACCGAATTATTGTCATAGAACAACCTAGGGGAGTTGCTCACACAAGGCCAAAAAGACCATCATTACCCGCAGCTACCTGCGGACCCCTAGAATCCCGCTTATATAGACATGTATACACTGGACCAGGTGGTATTTTACCACTTAGGCCACCCCTCGGGGTAGTAACCTCATGCGTTCCCGATTCGGAACGGTATGGATTTAAGAGTTGTTTGAATGAGCCGCGGGGTATTATAAATCAATGGCAAGTAGTACTATTAACAACCAAGTAAATCTCTATAAACAGGTGAATCAAGTCATAAGTAGCTATATAACAAAATATTGCGAG